TCTAGGATCCAGGTGATGAGGTGGTTGTCCAGACCCGTGTACTCCAGTTTGTCCTTCAGTATCAGGGGTTGGATGGTGTTGAAAGCACTTGAGAAATCAAAAAACATGATTCTCACTGTGCTCCCAGTATTCTCCAGGTGAGAAAGAGAGCTATGTAGAAGGTGAATGATGGCATCCTCCACTCCAATGCCAGGTTGGTAGGCAAACTGAAGTGGGTCCATAGATGGGCTCACCAGGGGGCGGAGGTGGGCAAGAAGTAGTCTCTCCAAGGTCTTCATCAGATGAGACGTCAATGCAACCGGCCTGTAGCTGTTGAGGTCTTTTGGGTGTGGGGTCTTTGGCACTGGTACCACACAGGATGTCTTCCACAGCTGTGGTACTTTCCCTATCAATATCAATATCTGTTACCTAACAAGACCTGCTTTGGGTAATATCTGAGCAAATAGACAATACCTTAACATCATCTTCCTATAAAGATAAGATTATGGTCTAATAATTTCAGTGATGTAAGATGAAAGCAAAATATCATTAATACTGAATGTGTAAACTCTTTTTTTACATCTGTACTGAAAAAAAACTCTGAATTCATTTATTTTTATTTTTGATATATGCTTCTTGAATATCAAAATGAAATCAGCCATAATAAGCACATGGTGTTGAAAAAATATATAATTACATGAGCAAGACACATTTTTTGATCAAATAACATAACAGTTTTACATAACTTTAATTTCAAACATAAAAGGTTCTCTTCTTCAACAAGTTTCTCTTTAGCTCACTTGACAAATCTTCAGTGTTCTAGTTTCTTCACCAGAACATCTTATTTAGCTTCTTCAATTGTGCAAGAATTTTGTTTGTTGCTGTTTTTTTTATTTTTTTTATTTTATTTTATATGTATGTATTTATTATTGCCTCCTTATGTCAGACATCTGCTTGTCTGGCTGTATAAAGTTTTGACTTATTTATTGATTTTTCTCCATGTCTCTTGAGTTCAACATAACCTTGTCTGACTCCTTGCTCAAAATAAATCTTAACATTTTGAAATTTTACCTGTCTGTGCTTAGTGTGTGGTTTCTTTTATACTGCAATCATCAACCTTTTTTCTTTTTATTTGTGAGTCTCCTAATCCCCTCTGTGTGTACAGTTATATTTTGTTTGTTTGTTTCATTGTGTGCATGCATAAACTGAGAATTMTTTTCCCACATCCACAGTTAACATGTCTCTGATTATTCCACCAAGCTGAAACTTAAATTTAGAAGTAATTTGGTGTAAAACCCAAAATGAGAATCCAACAAAATGCTGAGTGTTGTCTGTATGGGTTTATTCCTGCCAAATGATGGCAAAGAACGGAGATCACTCTGAACTTCTTATCATTAGCTTGATACAGTTAAATTTGGCAGATGGATTTAATTAGTAGGGGAGAGCTACACCAACAGCAGCCAGTGTTAACAAAATAAAACAGATGGAAAACCCACATGCTAGTTAACTGAAGGAGTTAGCATAAATTTTACAGCTTTATTTTTTCTTGTTTTAATTCCTTTTCCAGACAGGTGCATTAACAAAGCCCTCATATTAAAAGTCTAACTTTACTCCTTTAATACTGAATATTGCTGAAAAGGTTACACTTMCTCATGTTCTTAAATGACCAGTTTTAGGTTTTTAATGAACACGCCACTGGATTAAACAAGAGATTTAAATTTTTAATTCATAGTGAGCACCTGAGATCTCTTTGCTCCTCAATAATTCAACATCTTCTGAAGGTGTGGGAGCTCATATCAAGTAATGAAACTGCAATATTTGGGTCACTGAAATTCTAACTGCAACCTTATTCTTACCCACTGAAATGAGCTCAAGTCCAAAAGCAAAATCTGCCTTTTTTTAATTAGTCATTTCAGGAGCTCCACACATATTTTATTGATTCTGACATTTTTGCACAATAAAGTATGTAGTTAAAACCCTTTATGAAGTCAATAAAATCACGCTTTGACTCAGTTTTTAGGTAGTGAAAAAATAAATTAAATAATTAATAAATAAATCTGATGTTTTAATGAATAGCCCACGTGCAACACTACAGAAAACGAGATCTGAAACAGTATTTGAGCGATTTTCCTGCACATTAGTTTAGAAAGGAAGATGAAAAATATGTTTTTGCACTTTTTACCAATGATTACCTCTTTTTGCTGACTGACACCAAAATGGATTTGTGACTATAAAAATGCATTTTAATAGATAGATTTAATAGATGACTGCTATCAAATTCCTCCGACAAACAAAACATTCAGGCTTTTTTATCCAATTTTACAGAGGAAAGCGTAATCTTTGAAAATCACAGATTTTAATATTTGATTTTTGACTGTGTCTAATTACTTTGATCAGCTATAATTGTTTTAAAAGTGCTTTAGATATAAACTTGTGTAAAAGATAGATACACAACATGGCTTTAAAGTTCAATCTCATTTCATTATGCTTAAAGGAAAWAACCAGGTATTAATGTTTTTTTCCTCTTTTTACTCACCTTTAAATATCTACTTATTTTTCAAGGTTCACAGACATCAATAGTAAAGAAGTTTAATGAATACTGCTCATGATTGGAAAGTGTTCGGCATTAAAAACATCCCTACAGAATAAGTCTGCTGTTAGATCTATTGCCTGATGTTAGCAGTGGTTCATTGGTATTAGGCAAGAAGCCAAACTCAACTGGTGGAAAACCACAGGGACAGTTTGGCTTCAGTTCCTGACATCTGGATGCAGCTGCTGTCACATAAACCCTCAAGACAGTCAAGGCAGCCACAAGCAGCCGCACATCACTGTGGTGTGTGCATGACATGTTAAATTACATCCAAAATAAATCTTTTACACGTCTGCATTTAGAACTTTAACACATGAGCAGACTGATGAAGAAAGGGAGCAGCAGAGGTCCAAAYAGCAGCCAGGATCTACAGCGTAATTGATTAGAAAAACTGGAGTGTAAATGTATGCAGATGTTATAGTAATTATTTGGCATTTTTAACAAATTTAAAAATCATTGAAACAAACCTTGGTTTTAGCTAACAGTGTATTTATTATTAATACAAAATCTTCTGTTTATCCTTGTTGAACTTTTTTAAATCTAAAACCCTAAAGATAACTAATAAATGCTTAATATCTCACTTAAACTATGCTCCTTTTCAAATTCTTGGAAACTCAGCAGCTCATACATGACACACCTTGTCCTGCCCGACTTTAAGCAAAATTCAAACAGCCAAAAGGCCAAATCATCACAAAGTCAGTGGCCCCAATCTCATAGTCTTAGATAATGTCATTTATTCCATTTTATCAAACATTTACCGCTACTGCATTTAATTAATTATTCCCGTTACAGATCCCGTCATTAAAAAACAGTTCTCACAATCTAAATGGGGTGTCAGCCATAATTGCAATGTAAAATTATTTAGCTTGATTTTCTGCCTTCCACTTTAAAAAGTCAATTTGTTTCTATCTGAGTGGATCAAGAAAATCACACACTAAAAGTTTAAAGAGGAATGATTGCAGTACCTTAAGCAGGGGAACCTGTTTTACATGGAAATAATGCCATTGCAGTGGACCTTTGGATCAGCCACTCTAAATCTGTCCAAGACCCCGTAAGGTAGATGATATCACACTAGGTCTACAAAAAGCATTTCTTGCTTCAGTGTCAGCCTCCAACCTCTTCCAAATATATTCATGAAATACAGCAAGACTGAGCCATCATGTATGTACTAGTTTCACATTATCAAATCCTTCTGGTGCCTTACAATATATAGATGCAATTTCATAATTTTGCTCCTGATGAAATGTACCAAAAGACACATCAATCACCAAAAATCAATTTGCAAAAGCGAAATAGCTCCCATACAGGGCCTCTCTGTGGCTAAATCGAAGGTTTTTCTAGCTGGCCAGATTGAAAACTAGAAGTCACTGACTGTGAATGCATTGCTTTCCTACTGCCTGCAGCTGCTCTCCTGAACCTGAAAATTAAAACTTAACTCAAAATGTGTCAAACCTGCGACAGATCAGGGCAAGACTCAAACCCTAATTGATCCTGAAAACAAAATACTGCTTGTCATGTTGTTTTGATAGGATGCATGTTGCATGGGAAAACTGCTTTGTGGAAAATTTCTTTTAGACTAACTCAAACTCATCAGACCCAGCTGAGCCATGTAAGATGTGCGAACCCTGYTCTGCCACTATTTTCATTACATTTCCCACTCCCCACTGACTCTCATCATTACTTCCAGAGTTTCCAAATCCTCGCTGGGCCTGCRTTTGGCCATGGGACTGACAGATTGAATTGGTCAGTGTTCCCYATTGTAAATGCATTACTCTCACACTCCCTGTATTATACTTTAACCTCCACATTGAATCCCATTATTATTGCTGAGGAGACTATGTACTTTTAGAACAGAGCTTGAGTGTAGGTATTATTGGTTTAAGGAGAGGTGTGGCCTTTGTGCATGAGTATTCCAGCTTGTACAGGTTTTTATTTATCCATTTGTACCACAAAGACAGTTGTATGCTGTCATCAAACAKGAAGTGAGTTGATAAACCTCAAAAACAACCTGTCAAGGATGCAGTTATTGCCACCAAGTATTAAATAAATCTGCACATTTCTGTCTAAATGTGAACATAAACATCATGAGTGAGTGAGAATGTATGCAGACTTACCAGACAGCAATATAATCTGTGACAGGCTCTGTCTGCAGTAAAGTAAAGTTGATGTAAACCCCGTGTCCATGGGGAACAGTGATGAGCCAGCTACAGTCTTGTRAGTTGGGATATTCATTGGGGTACTGAGGTGAATAGATGGTCCCATTTTCAGCAGTGACATTATATCCACAAGGAGCTGTAAAAAGCACAGATATGAGCCTGTCAATCTAAAATTTTCAATCCTCTGGAACATGGCAAACTTGGAGAACTTGTGAGACAGGAGTCACTGTTGAGCTGTAGAAGTTGAAGAATATTATGATTATTGTCAGATTTGTTATAGAGGCGAACACTAAATCACCTTAAGGAGCTCTTGAATGAAGGTTTTCACAATCACTTTCTACAATGAACAATCCTAGTGATCTTGAATTAACTTTATAACTAATTAGTGATAATTATTCTAC